TAGACTCTTATTGTAGAAGCTACATGTGGTCTGGGGGGAATGAGATTACAAAGAAGGCTCTCATTGCTTGGGATAAGGTGTGTATAACTAAAACAGTGGGTGGACTTAACCTTAGCAACCTGCATACCTGGAATACTGCTGCCATTGCTAAGACTTTCTGGGACTTATCTCACAAGAAAGACAAGTTGTGGATTAAGTGGACCCATACAGTGTACATCGAGGAGCAGAACATATACTCTATGCCAATCCCTATGAATGCAAGCTGGATGGTAAGGAAAATTTTGGAAGCAAGGAAGACCATAATGCAGCTACAAAGACCATTAGAGGCTAAGAAGAGCATCATTAGACAGATATACCTCCAACTGATTCCAATATTGCCCAAAATTACCTGGAGATCTCTATTGTGCAACAATGCTGCTAGACCTAAGGCACAAATCACAATGTGGCTCCAGTGTCAAGGACGATTGCTAACTGTAGACAGGCTTAAGAAATGGGGCCTCAAAGTGAATGACTTATGTGTGCTATGCCATACCAATTTGGAGACAAGGGATCACCTGTTTGCTGAATGTGACTATGCTAAAACGCTGTGGAACAGATTGAAACAATGGGCACTAATACAGAACAATGATGGGGCAACATGGGAGATGCAACTACAAGTCATCTGCCAGCAAACAAGAGGCAAGTCAGCTGCTACAAAGCTTCTCAAGATGATATATGCTGAATACACTCATGCACTGTGGAAAGAAAGGAACCAGAGAATATTCCAACAAACATTCAGAGATCACACAAGCTTGGCAAGAGAGATAGTTTGCATATGTAACTTTAGGGCCACAGGAAATGTAAAGACACTGATAAAAAAGTTGTATTTCTAGCATAGATCCAGAATAGTAGATCAGTATATGCTAAGATAGATTTGTCTTTCCCTTTGTAGTTTATCATGAGAAAGTACAGCTAGCTGGGAGTAGCTAAGCTCTGATATGTAATGCCTTCACTTTTGGTGATTAATAAAAATTTAATTACCAAAAAAAAAAAAAACTGATTGTTGGTGATAAAGTGCATATTCAACGGGAGTAGAAGACAGGTGCTTCAACAAAATTGAGTGTTGGTGACATAGTGCATCAACGGGAGTTTGAGACAGGTGCTTCAATAAAATTGGGTGTTGGTGACAAAGTGCATCAATGGAAGTTGAAGACAGGTGCTTCAACAAAATCGGGAGTTGGTGACAAAGTGCATCAATGAGAGTTGAAGACAGGTGCTTCAACAAAATTAAGTGCTGGTGGCAAAGTGCATCGTGTGTTGAAGACAGGTGCTTCAACAAAATTAAGTGCTGGTGGCAAAGTGCATCATGTGTTGAAGACAGGTGCTTTAACAAAATTGGTCGTTGGTGGCAAAGTACATCAACAAGGGTTGGAGACATGTGCTTCAACAAAAGTAAAAGATTGGAGAGAAGTGCTCCAATACAACAAAAGTCGTAAACAACTTTGAATTACGGGAGAATATTGAAAAACCAATTCAAAGTTGTAGTAGGAAACCAAAATTATTTAGGACTTGATTAATTTAATTTGTGTCTAAATATGATTTGTATTCATAATTAATATAGGAATAAACTTTTCTGTTTTTAATCAAAGTAGGCTTAGCACTATTATAAATAGGGGTGCTATTAATTATTTTAATGTATGAAGGTAATAAAGAATTGTAGAGAACTTCTAGAGAATTTACGATAAAAATATTTTCCTTCGCTCTTAAACTTGAACTTCTATTAACAGAAAACATGCATGTTTAATGACTTTCCTGAGATATTCATGATATTGGAAATGTATTGAAAAATGAAAGAGTTCATCAATTAAAAAAAGATGTGTATACATGATAAATTAATTATATGACCCATTTAATATCCAAGGGAGGTATATTACCTCCTACAACAACAAATTATATGATAAATAAGTTAGGGAGCATTTTACCCTCAATGTGGGATTTCCCGGCGCGAATCCGGATTTAGTCAGGCCCCAATGTGGATACCGAACACCGGATGGGAAACCAAAAAAAAAAAAAAAATACAAGTACAAAAACTATTGCGCCTGATCAATTTCAAACAAATTGGGAGGTATTATGTCATAATTAAGCCATGCAGATTAGCTGGTAGCTAACTGAATATTAAGTCAGGAAGCAGTTAAGCTGATGTGGGAAATTCCTAGATAGCGTTATGATCGAAAAATTTTAGGGAAACTTACAAAAATGTCCCAAATAAATATCAACTTACCAATCTCTAGCAATTAATCATAAACTTATCAAAACTAGCCAAGAAAAATTGAAACACCAAATAATAAGGTTCTTTCTTTCAAAGAATCACATGCAAAAATCACCTTCCATATTTTTAAGCGTGATTAGCAACATTAGATACAAGACGGAAAGGAAATTTCATGGACGGGGTAGCAAATAAGGTGATGAAATACAAAAATATATACAATATTCCAAAAAATCTAAGCAAAAAAGGAATTTTTTCAATGGGTATAGTTGAAATTCATTGAAAATATATAGATAAGTCAATATACAAAATTTGAGGAAGATTGAAGGTGATTTGGACTGGTTTTGTATCAAAATTCGTAATTAAATCGAGTTCAAAAAAGTCTTCTGCGACACATGTATCAAACATGTATCACGCATGTATCTCACACACAGGTATACATGGATATACATGTGATACACAATTGATACAAATATGATACATATGTGATACACAATGTGATACACATATCATTTTTTTTTTCATTTTCAGTTTTTACGTCGAATTTTCAATTCAAACCACCTCAAAACTTCACCAAATCATCCCAAAATTGAGATTCAAGCTCCTTAAGTTGTGCCCAATCTATTCTAATAACACCCACTCAAAACAAAGCAAAAATTTGATATTTTTTTGCTTCAAATAGCTAATTGCCTAATTTGGCTAATATTAGTAATATTTTATCAATTGGCCAATTTTTGTAATGAGCTACTTATAAATGGACATAGCTGGTAATTTTTCAAAATTTTATTTTGTGCCTCACACAACTGACACTAGTCGTGTGAGGCCTCTTTTTTGTCTCACAACTGTATGGGTCCCAGAATTTTGTGGACCCAGATGTGTAAGATATGGGTCCACAAATATGTGAGATAAAAAGAGGCCTCACACAACTAGTGTAAGTTGTGTGAGATACAAAATAAAATCACTCGTTATGATCATTAGATAATACGTCTTCTGCAGTTTCAAAATATATATTTGATTTTTTTGTTTGTGAAATTCAAACTACATGAATTTTCGATAATAATTTCAAACGTATTCCTTCATTCATTGATATGATATAAAAATGTAACTTATTATAATATCTTTTGTGTATTTTGAATTAAACTTTAATCATAAAAATAAATTATCTAGTCCAATACCTACTAAAAATTGGTCTGACTAGTTCCCATTTCCTTACACAGAGTATGAGGATTAAACTACTCAATTTTAAATGAGTATTTAAAAGTAGATTCTTCAATACTTAAAATTAAATAAGTTACATATTTAAAATTATATTCTATAAATGATAATTTTTTTTAGAAATCAAGATATTTAAAAATTAATATTAATATAAAACAAAGACAATTTAAGAACAACTTAGGATACAAAATAAACACAATTTAGAAACAACTTAGGACAGAGAAGTTGATTCCGTTGGTAATTACTTCCTAAATGAAAAGATTAGAACTATGGTTTAACTGGGCCATAAGAAGCACGGAGAATGGAGCTTTTTCTTTTATATATATATATA